GGACAATCGAGACAGACCAACAGATTACGCGAGCCTTCGCGACCTCGAACATTATCTCCATTACCCTCAAGAGTTAGAATTAGCGGGATTCCACTGTATTTGATGTAGGTGACGGCACGCCTGTTCGATAAGGTCACTGAGTCGTTTTCAAAATCAGAGCGACCGGCACTCCCTTATTCAAGATTTTAGCTCAATTTGAAGACAATTTCCATTCGGTTCGGTCTGTCTTTGGAATCCTAAATCGCGGTTGGTAGCAAATGGTTAACATACTATTTTACATGAAGCAAAGATAGAGGTCATTTGCATGCAGCCGAGGTTCTTCCTTAGCTGAGCCCTTGTCTTTGTGAATAAGCAATACATACATAGACATGCATACCAACGAAGTCTTATTCGTATCCGTTGTTTGGTCACGTCAAGCCACGGGCATAGGGGAGAGAGTGTGTTAAGGAGCGTGACACCAACACAGTTTATTTCTCATGTGCTTAAAACGAATTGTTCAGACAACAGAGACAACAGTCCACAAAATACCTGCGTCTGATTATTTTTTTATATAAACCCAAACGTCTTTTTACGTCCTATCGAACGGTATTTTTGTTGGAATCTTTCAATGTAAATGCTCTTTCTTCTACAAAATTTGACAAAAATTATTTACTCAGTGTCCCATCTCAACCCATCCATCCGAAAAAAGTCATGCATGTGTAGCATACCCATGTTTTCTTTCCTGCCTCCGAAGGAGCATTCTACTAAACAGATCTACTAAACGGATCGACTAAATTTTCGATGAGAGGCTGGTAATAGATTGACTCAACATACCCCTTGCTTAAGAGGCTACATCAAAATATTTTGAGTTTCTTTTTAAAGGGAAGGACGATCTTGAGATATTTGCTTCACAGGATCAACATTCACTTAAGCGAGAGAGAAAAATAAGCGGACTGTATTTTGTAAAAACATACACTCACTAAAAAGCCAAAGAACTTCTTTGCATTAGCATGCTCAAGAGAATATTAACAGTTCATTTTCCCTTGGCTCTCTACATTTGTCTCTTATCCTTTTTCTCTTTTTGGTAACGTTTTTTACATACAGCTGCTTGGTGAGCAATTGGTTGTCGGGCCACTGACGCGTTTTCCAGCACAAAGCACAGCTAGGGTAGATGAGGGTTAAAGTGGAAGAACATGGCTAACTTAAAATAGATGAGGTTTGAAGTGGAAGAACATCGCTAACTTTGGTTAGATTAGAGTCAATGTGGAAGAATATGGCTAACTCATGCGAACTTAGAGTGTATGGGGGGTTAACGTGGAAGAACGAGGCTAACTTAAAGTTGATGAGGTTTTATGTGGAAGAACATCGCTAACTTAGGGTAGATCGGGGTTGACGTTGAAGAACATGTTAACTTAGGGTAGATGGGAGTCAACAAGGTAAAACGAAGCTAAATTGGGAATGATGGGAGTTAGCGAGGTAGAACAGGGGTGAGTAAGGGTAGACGCGGGTGAATGAGGTAGAACAAGGTTTATTAGGACATTGGTTAGCCATATATGAACTTTATATACAGTACTGTGGGAAGTTTAATGCATGGGACGTCTTATGGACCTTACAAGAATTCTTTACCAGCGTGAAATCGAAGCTTCCGTTGATAAACAAACGGGATTCGGACGTTGGGTACCGAGGCACGCGTAGATTTGTTGGACCTTTCCATTTACGTTCGAACAGCTTTAAAG